AAAAAAAAAAAAAAAACAAATAACAAATGATAATTTGTTCTTTAATGTTTGTCTATAAAATTCTACTTTTTTAAAAACAGTATTTAAATCATCACAAAATAATTTTTTTTTACAGTTATTTGCCTGTATTTTAAAGAAAAAATATTTCTACTGTACAAATTTAAGATGTTTTAAAAGTTTACAGATAATATCTAGTAAAATAACAGTTAAAAAAAAGTAATAAATTACATTTTGAATGTCTACGTCAACAATCTCAAGTGTTACAAGTTGTATTTTGTTCTTTTACAATGTCTGACCTTAAAATTATAGTTTTACTGTATTTAAATCTGCTAAACATATCATTATTTTACAGATATTTGCCACTTTGCTGCCAGATTTTCACAGATTTTTTACTGGACTTTTTTTGTGTGTGCATTGGTGCAGCTCCTACAGTGTAAATTAAAGGTTTGTTGGCTGCCAGGGTTACTCTGCCTGAGTGAGCAGGTCGATCTGACTCTCTTAAACATGCAGGAGCAGCTTCCACAAGACAAACTAATTGGAGTTCCCGGCAGACGGGAAGCTTTCTGCTGAGCCAGCTTCCAACCGAACACGAGGGCAGCAGCGACGACACCCACAGCAGTGGATGCTACAGAAGCTCTTACTCTCCTCGGCTTCCTTTCATCGCGGCTCGAAAGGATATTTCATTGTCCTTTAGCCCCCTTTTACTTTTCTTCCTTCCTTCCTCCACTTCTCCCTATAGCCTCGGTGCCTTTCATGCTCTCCTGTCTATATCCTAATCGCTAAAGTTCAACATTAATTTCCTCTCTCTCCCTCCATCTGCCTGTTTGCGTCTCTTTGTGTCTTTAGCATTTGTGGCATGCAGCGCGGTGCAGCGGAGGGGAAATGACTGAGCTTCCCCGTAGCTTGACTTTGTCTAATGAGACTTTCTGAGTTTGCACACTTGCCAACAGGAGGTATTTCAGCCACTGTAATCCACCCACTTATTTCGACTGCACCTAAACACACTAAATATGACTTGTGTGAGTCATAATGAGTGAATATACTCTAAGGTAGCTTTTCATTGTCATCACCCACGCCTGCCTGCCTGCCTGCTGCCTGCCTGCCCGCCTTACTGGAAGCTTACTCAGGACACACTTGAGCTGCATGAGTCAAAGCACAACAGCATGAATCGTGGATGTGCGTAGTTTGAGTGAGGTGTAATTTACTGAAAGAAAAAAGAAAAAAAAAACCTGTCATTTCTTCCATATATTTATTGCATCTAGAAGTCTAGGAGGAGTTCCAGCTAACTTTCTCATGTGCAACGCTTGGCGGGCTCGGATTTGGCAGAGGGCTGCTTCGGTCTGGATTGTGCCTCATGGCAACGCGGGGCGATAAATTAAAGCAAACACTCTGGGATTCTGGGGCGTTTACAGGTTAGCGTGCTGTCTCTCAGGTTTCAAATTCATTCAAGACATGTGGTTAACACTACTGACCCGCTTTTGTTAAGGCCAGCGACGAGGAGCTGTGATGTGAAACACTGCAGTGACTGATTACACTTTTCCATACCGCGGAACAAACCGTGGAGGAAAAACTGTTCCAGCACGCTGAGGGCAACTTGGGTAAACGCACTCGCAAACTCCCCCTCCTCA